AAAAAAATTGTGGCCCAAGGGAAATGGCAACTCATTACAGATCAGCTCCTCTAACAACTCACCTTGCAGTGGATGATAACAGATCACAATATTGAAGACTTGTGGTGAAGCTGGAAGCTGCTCAAGATTCAAGGCAGGCAGGTACATGATAAAAAGAGTAGAGCAACAGGGGGAGCAAACACATGGCTTAGTTGAGAGAGCAAAGAATGGCAGCAGCAGCAGCAGGGCACCACACTTYCTTACACAGGTAATTTTGGTGTAGGTTGCAGTGGTAACACAGCTAGGGTTGTTGCAAGGGTAAAGATGCTCATGCAGAAGTGTGTAAGGCCAAAGAGGGTCTGAAGAACTAGCAGCGGAAGGAGCAAGGGAAGGTCTTGGGGTGTGAGGAAGAGCTCCATCTGCCCCATGGGGCCTCTATCAAGTAACTGCACCCAGTTGGATGAGTGAAGAATAATATTAAAAGTGTTTTTCCGAAAGAGAAGTTGTTTCACATTTCCATCAGGAATGCTGGCAGGSGTACCCACGGCAGCGAGTTCTTGTGCTCTGCACGCCAGACATGAGGAGCCAGGCGGGACGGGCTGGCACCAGGACTCCACGCTGCCGCCCTCAGCTTGCTCCCTCAAAACAGCAGGACGCTGCGAATACTGAAAAACAGGAAGGCGGCACAGGGTTCCAAGTGCTGGCATGGAAAGTTCTCATGACTTGCCAGGGAGGGCAAGGAAGGTAAGAAAAAAGATAAGAAAACTAAGAAATTATTCATGCTGCTGCCCTATTTGAACAGCCAGACTATGTGGACTGTTTGAATTCTTAAACCCTCAGTGACCAGGCGGACAAAATCTCACCTTTTTCCCGCACGTAACAATTCCAATCCCTTGTTCACTTCAGCTACTGGCAGTACGTGTGTGACCAGTGGGTCCAGGTTGATTTTTCTTTCTAAATAGCTGGTAACTAATTTGGGAATAGAATCTCTCGCCTTCCAACCTAGAAATGGGAAAAAYGCACACAGTGAATAAATACTCAAAGAAATATCCTGGTAAAGTAACAGGAATCCTTGTTAGCTCATGCTGAAGTCTAATGACAGGAATAAAGATGCCAGTCAGTGGCTGGCATCTCTACCAGGTTATAATTATTAGGGTGAGGTTCACAGGTAGGCAGGGGCAGGAGAGGTGGGATGAACCTCACAGGGAGGTTAGAGGCCCATTTTTTTTCCAGGTTGGACAGTGGCAAGGTGTTAGTGGGGCAAAAGGAAATTGCTTTCATGGAACAGTTGTCATCTTCCTACTGGTTCTGGGATTTACGGTATCCAGCAGAGTTGATGCCCAGGCTGCCTTTTGGGAGGTGTGTTGYTGGAYTGCCRTAARGATCAGAACTCAGCAATCGTTAACAGAGKCWTTGTCTGGAAAGAAATTGCCCTTACTGGGCAAGAAGACAATTTTCTCCTTCAGGCTACAGCTAGGGCAGCCAGTGGYGTGTACATAACTATCACAGGCACTGTTAGCATATTTCTGCTTACATATTCTGGAAATGCAGTGCTCATTTTTAGTTGTAGTCTCATAGATTTTTTTTTCCTTAAAAAAAAAAAAAAAAAAAAAAAGTCTGTCAAACAGACCTGCTGGGGCATGGCCGAGCTTGAAACATGCCCGTTGAGGTTAATCAATAGCAACTATCAGAAAGTGTTTGTTTTGGTATGCAGCTGAATACGCTGCTCACGTGCACAAACGAATTGCCAAAGGGAGGATTTCTGTATGCATTGGAGGATAACTGTTCACAGACATTTGGGGAGTGTGGTGAAAGGAAAGTCTGCCAAGATTGAAATAGTTGTCTTTGCTCTCGTCTCATACCTCCGAGCAAAGTCCCCGTCCACGTACGCCCCGAGAGCAGAAGCGCCGGGTCAAAGGACAGCAGCGATCCAGCRGGCACTTCCCCAATGATCACGCAGACGCCTGTGCCCACGCTGCAGGAGGCCAGCGCAGCAACCTGCCGGCACAGGCAGCTGCATTAGAACATGCACCGGGTGGTTTGTCAGAAACAGCGGCCTTCTACGTAGGAGACTCTGCTGACGATTTAAAAGCCAATACACCCGCCTGTATTTGGCAAGCAAAGCTCCTTTTCTGCTTCAAGCCGCCACATTTTCTCCCAAAGCCAGACAGTCTGCCTTAGTGTGCAAAGACATGCCCAGAATTG